GAGGCTGGCAGGGCAGAGGAGCAGGGCTGAGACTGCTGCTGAGGTCTCCTTAGAGAGGAGTGGGTAGGTGGGAAAGTCCGAGAGGAAGGAGCCTTGGGCAGCCAGAAATTAGAAAGAAGCAGGCAAAGCCGGGACCAGGGAGAGGGATGCATGCGGGCACACAGCTGGGATGCTGGAGGGCTGGGTCCTTGCCTGCTCAAATTTGTGACCTGAGGCAAGGCACCACCTCCTGATGCCATGTCCTCTCTAGAATAAGCATCATGAATAAAGCACAAGGATGAAGGTTCACGTGTGTGGGGTCACCCAAAAACTCAGAGTGCCAAAACAACAGTATCATCTTCCGGACATACAGGACCAGGTGTTTTGCCAAGCGGTTCCCTCCATGGCCCAACTCCTGGTGGAACTTTAGAGTAGTCCTGAGATTTGGGCATTAGTGGCCCAATTACTAGCCAAGGACATGAATTAATCCACCCAGGATCACGTAGCCAGCAGGTGGATCATATGGCTTTGCCCCTCTCCCCAAATCGGCCCTCCTTCCAGGACCTGAGGAAGGCTCCCTTTCCCTCAGATTTAAAGCCCCATTGCCAGGATGAGAAAAAGACTATTTTTTTTGCAAGGCACGAGCCCCTGCCAGCTTCTGGCTCCTGGCGGTGTTTGCTGCAGAATTTAAAGACTGCAATAACTATTGAACACCCTATTATCCGGCTGCCTAATTAATGTAAATGATAGTTACAGTCCGCTCACGAAAGGCTTATGTTTCTCTGAGGAGGCCCTGCCAGCCACCTGGGCCCCATTCCAGGGGCTTTATGGTGGCAGCCCCATTCTGGCTTTGTTGAGTAAAAGGTAAGTCGTGGCCCTAAATAATGAAGACAGAAGGGCTCGGGGGGCTCCACAAAATAGGACAGCTCCGACTGCAGTTCCCAAATCAGATGACAGAGTCACTACCACACAGGCTCCTTCCATTCTGACGTGGAGGCTCGAGTGCTCCCTGCAACCCTGTGGCAACATCTCCAGGCCTCCCAGAGGTGTTCCTCCCAGTCCCCGGAGCATACAGTAAAATCTTATCTGAGTCCTTCATGGACTGGCCTTTGCCCCGCTCAGCCCCACCTCACATCAGCCTCCCTCTTGTCCTTTGGCTCCTGGTGAGGGGACCAATTTGACCACATTTTCTGGGAACTGTCCTGGTTTTATCACAAGCCTGGGCCAACAAGGCAGCTGGGCATCTGTTCCAGCCCCACCAGCCTACAGTGGTCCCAGGAAAGTTGTCCAGGATGGTCCCCCCCCCCATTCTAGGTCTGTGTCTTTATTCATTCAAGCTGCCAGAACACAAATATATCACAGGCTTAGGCACCTTATCAACAACAGAAGTTTATTTCTCACAGTTCTGATGCAGGGAAGGCTATGATCAAAGTGCTTACAGATTTGGTGTCTGGTAAGGGCCCTCCTCACAGACAACCATCTTTTCATTGTGACATGAAAAAGGGGTGAGCCATCTCTCTGGGGCCTCTTTAATAAGGGCACTAAGTCCATTCACGAGAGCTTCACCTCCGTGATCTCATCATCTCCCACAGGCCCTGTTTCTTAATGTCATCTCATTGGAGATTAGATTTCAACATGAGTCTGAAGGATCTCAAGCACTGAGTGCACAGAAGGCTGACTCCTGGCCCTCCTCTGAGGGCAGACTAACTGCCGCCTTCTAGAGAGAGACTTTCCCGGCCACCCTAACTCAGTCACTCTCCTCTCCCCAGTGTTGAGGAACAAAGCTGGCTCTCCAGGCCTTGCAGTGACTGCCCAGTCCTGCTCTTCTCTACTTCTTGGTGGCTCTTGCAGGAAAGTTGGGGCTGGCCTTTCTGAGGAAGAACCTATATCCAGCTCAGTGCAGCTGCATTCTGGGTGCACATTAGAATCACCTGGGGGGTTTTCAGGACAATATCAGAGCCCAGACTTCAACAGCCAGCCCGAAACTTAGACCAGAAACCCTGGTGGGGGAGCCTGGTATCTGTATGCCTTTAAATAGCATGGCATTGGGCACATCATTCACTCTGAGAATCTGTTGTAAGGACAGCGAGACACAAAGTAAGTGCTCATTGAATTTGCTCTGTCTTGGCTCTTTCTATTGTTGAATGGATGGGATGATCCATGACCTCCAAGAACAAGTCTGAAAAACTTGAGCTTTGAAAACTGAAGTGCTTCAGCACCCCAGATACATCCCCTGGGTCTCCAAGGTGATCATGGTCACTCCTGGGGCCACAGGCCTGGCCAGATTCCCCTTCACCTAGAGACCAGATCCCGGGAACCTGTGTTTGTCATGATCCTTCTGCGCTGTGTTGTAAACCTGTGTCTGCCTTCTTGTCTTTGAACTCTGAGAAATTCACTCTGAGTCCCAGGGCTCAGCACAAAGGCTGACTCAATGCAGGTGCTCAGAGAATAAGTGAATCAGTGAACATCCCCACAACTGTGTCATCAGGCACTTGTGAATCATTTCAGGGCCATCTCTGGCAAGACTGTGCTTCTGAGACATCTCCCTTGACTGCCTGACCCACAGTCTACATACATGCCAGGTCCATGTCTCAGCATGCCTTGCAGTTACAGTTTTGGGGCTAATGTTTCCAAATTGTGCATCACAACTTTACTGGCTCTTGTCATTAATATAGCTGGAATATGACCTAGAATAGACTACAAAATAAAATACCAAAATGAAGTGCACATAGGTCAGTTGTTTCCCCAAATTTCATTTCAGTTATATGTAAAAATGGAAGTCTCTAGACATCAGGGAGCAATGAATCAGGTTTATTCTAGAAAGTTCTCTAACAACTTCAGGAACTAGGGACAATGACAAGTGAAAAAAATAGGAAAATGGTGTTCAGAAGAGGGAGGGACAAGCCTGACAAGTCACAGGTTGACAGGGTTGGAGCTGGACTCCAGTTCAGGTTTTCTTACTCCATTACCCTCTGCAGAAGCCCATGATATATCTGCTCTATCTCAGGAGCACTAAGGTGGCCTCTTTTACACCGTGGCCCCATGTGGACAGGTCTCTTAATTGCTGTTCCAGGAGACACTCACTTACTTTGACCTGTGGCAACTGGGTGCATCAGTTGAGACTGTTTGAGTTGCAAAAAACAAAACTCAACCCAAGTTGGGAGAATTTTAAAAACCCCAAAATTAAAGGGTCAGAGTAGTACTGCCTTCAGGAATGGTTTGATCCAGAGAATGAAACAACATCCTCAGGACCTCTTCTGTCTCACTTTACCTTTGATCTGTTTTGCCTCCTTGTTCAGACAGGTTTTCCCTTCATAGCTTAAAGATGTTTGCTCAAGCTCTGCATTCCCTCAGTCTAGCTGGAGCCTAGCTAAAAAGAAAAAAGATATTTCTGGGAACCCTTCCTCTAGTCCTAGAATGTCTTTGTCCTGATTTTACCCTTAATGTCAGGTCCCCATCCCTATGGTGACAGAGTACATCACAGTGTACCCTGGTTAATCATCCAGGGTACTGATTAACCAGGCCCAGGTCACATGCTTGTGCCTTCGCAACACCTGGGTTGGTTGTCAGGAAAGGGGATAGTCCTCTAAAGGAAATCATGGTGCTATATTTAAAAGAAGGGAGGAAAGATAAAACAAAATGAAGGAAAGATGGATACTGGGCGGATTTGGGAGGTAGAAGTGAGGCTGCAGGCTTCTTAGTGCTTCTTAGTGCTCTGGAAGTCAGTGGGTGATGCTGGGGTGCGTCTGCTGGCTCACAGGGTGACACAGGAGGCAGCCAGGCCATGACTCTTGCAGCTCCTTCCTACCAGGCCCTTCTGCAGCTTCTCCAGCCTCCTGCTGAGAAGATGCTGCCAGCCTCTTCCAAAGAACACCCTGGGTGAGACTGGAGTCAGGGAGAGAGTGAGCAGCTGACGCAGCTCCAACCTCAAGGTCCAGTCTGTCCTGGCGTGCTCCGTGACACGTCCATCTTCCCTTCCCCACTACCTGGCCCACAGTGTGCTCTAGGCTCTAGCATCAGACCCAGAAGCAACTGCTTCATGTGGGCTGTTGAACTGGCTCCCAGAGTGGGGTGAGGTCAAGTTCTGGAATAATCTTTTATATCTAATCTCCAAGTGGCTCTGCTTCTCCAACAGAACTTTGTCAACAGTCCCTGAGCTTCCTTCTCTGAAATCATCCCAGTGAGCACAGGAACAACACATGGGACAGTGCCACAACCAGTACCAGGAGCAGCCTCTACCCCATGCCTACAAGGACTCCTAGTGACACTCTCAGAGGGTTCACATCTGCCAGGCATCCAAATCCATTTTGGAGGTAGCTTTTGCTCTGATGGAATGCCTAGTGCAGAGTCATGGACATCTTCCCTATGACCAACTGCACCTCCCTCCACTGGTTTATTCCAATGAGGATACCCTCACAGTGTTCATCTTGCTATTTAGAGATCTATTCATAGACTGTGAAGGTCCTCGTAGTTGACCGGGCAGCACCCATGTGCCCTCCAATGATTCTAAGCCAGCAAAGCAGTCCAACACTCCTTGTCAAGGACTAGCCAAAGTGAGCAGTTGTTAGTGCTGTTTGCCTAATATTTCACCAATTCTATTAGGGGAAGATGTTGTTTCCTTGCCCCCTTGTGTTGAATGGGACCATAGTCAACCCCAGCCAATGAGCAGAAGCCATGTGTGTCACTTCTAAGTCAGACTATTTACCCACTGGCACGAGACCCTCCAGAGTTCTCTTCCCACAGCACAGTCACCAACAACATTCCAGATGATTGTACTCCTTTAGCCTAAGTCTCTGAGGGACTTCAATAAGAATCCCTTTACTGACCTGCAATAGCAGGTAATATGAGTAAAAAATGAATGTCTGTTGCTTTAAGTAATTAATTCTTTGAAATGTTTTATTACTGCTGCATAAACTAGTGTATCCTGACTTACAAATGTCTCCTGGGACTAAAGGAAGGTTTCTTTTGTTATGAAAAGGAGGTAGGGAACTAGAACCTATAGTATCCTTTTCTTCCTCTAGGGGTTGCCATGTCTGGATGAGAAACTGGAATTCTGCCCCACCTGGAGACCAGAAGCCAGTCTAAGGGAAAGCCACCATCCAAAGACAACCACAGGCAGAGGAATGGATAGAAACAGTATCCTTGAGAACATGGCCAAACCATTCGGTCAACCAACCCTGAAACTCTCACTTCTCAACTTCCTGTTATACAAGATTCCTTCTCACTTAAGCCAATCCAATTTGGAGTTTCTGGAGTTCTGCTACTTGAAACTGAAAATATCCTCACCAATGGAAGAATGCAGACACATCCCTTACTCAAGCAATCCTTGGAAGTAGTAACTTTCCACCAAGGTCACCAATGAAAAAACCTTCACTCTAGAAAGGTGCAAGGTGTCAATCAAGACCATATATCTCCTCCTCCTGATCAGAAAGCTGAGCAGAATTGAACTATTTAATAGATTGAAACTGTGGAAATCAAACTCAAAATTTGACCTATGCAATAAGGAAAAAAAAAGTGTGTGTGTGTAGGAGGGGTGTGATATGTTGGATATGTAATCGAAAGCGATTGTAACTTCTGACATGACTGGATTTTGGGGGGTTCAAAGATTGTCAGGAATGTGCCTTTCTCCATCTCAACTGTGTTTTCTTTCATGACAGTTCTACTCTCCAATAAAATTTCTTGCCAACTGCTCCCGGGAGGTGTGTAGTTCCTATTGGAACAGCTGGACTCCCCAGGATATCACTTTCCCTGCAAAGGGCTTAAGGTAGGTCTTCGCTGGACTCCCTTAGAACACAGGCAGGTCCCTGCACCAACTGCAGCTAGAAAACACAGTACTCTAACCTGCCAGATTCACAACATGTGTCCATCTCTAAGGCCAAGACAGGGATCAGTTTTCTCTGAGGCAAAAGAAGGAAGAGAGAGAGAAAGATGTAGTTCTCCAAAAAATACAGGTGTTTCTTCCAAAAGGGAAGATGCTAGCAAGCAAAAAAACAACAGGCAAAGATGTCTACATAGCTCTGTTGCATTTGGTTTTAGTGACAAGACTATGCATGGTGTGGCATCAAATTTTTGCCAGTCTGATACTGGGGGCGGGGGCGGGGGGAAGAAGACAGAAGTAAAGAAACTGTCTTAATTTGCCCCAACCCAGGAAAAACATCTGAGACAAGGATGTTAATGCAGGTTGTTTATTTTAGAAGTAAAGAGAAACACTAGAAATGGAGGAGGGAAGTGACACAGAAAAGGGAAGGTAGCCAATAAAGGGAGTGTCACCCACCAAGTTCCTGGGGGCGACTGGAGCTGGGTTCCACTGGAACTTTGGGAGACTGCATACAACGCCCACCTCAGTTATCTCTTAGGAAAGGTGAGGGAGCTGGGGATTTATCCACCAATGCCAGCTGGTCCCAGAGGCGTTGATTCTCTTTCACTTCTGGATCACCATGCAGATGGACACAGGTATGTCCTAGAGTTTTTGAGGATGCCCGCAGGTAAGCAGATGCAGAGAGTGGCTGTTGAACTTCAACTTGCAGGATCAGGGCCAGGAACCAAACTGCTTCCTATATCTGTAACATTGATTGAGCCACTACTGGTGTTCTATGGGTAATTCCTTCAAATCTTTGCAATTACAAGCATCCAAATTTACCCATGAGCCTCAGGAATTTGGCTTCATCTGGCAAGATGGGATAGCAGGAATTTGAACCCCGATCTCTGACTCCGAAACCACTGCTTTCCCCACAAATCTCTACAAATTCAGCAGATTAATTCTAGACCACTGTCAGGCCCTGCCAATAACAGAAGCCACATTAGAGCCCCTCCAGCTGCCTGCCTTTGCTGAGGGTCACTCCCTGGGGCCCCTATCCTGGTATTCCTTGGGCCCAATGTGGCTAACAGTCAAAGTCTCCACTTTTGCCACCACAACCTTTTGCAGGGTCTCTTCTCTAGAATGTTTTTCTGCAGATGCTAATGAATGACCCTTAAATATCCCAGAAAAGGCTGCCTCTTTTTGAAGTGGCTCAAGATCTCTGCTCCTGATTACAATCTTTCAAGAGCTGATTTTGGCCACTTGGCTCTTATTTCTGAGTGATGATGGGCATGAGAGGAGAGGAAAGCCAGGAATAGAAGAGTGTTTGGGCTCAGCTCTCCTACTGAAATTGCAACCCCAGGAGGCAAGTTTTTAGGCAATCAGAATTGTAAGGGTAGAAAAGAGAACTCTGTTTTCTTTTTAGTTCTATGAACAAGTTATTCCAGTTTGTACCCCAATATAAGCCACACTCATTTCTGCATAATCAGGACTTGTCACGTAAAGGTTTGCCACTTTTTCTCAGTGATTTTACTTTATCATAGGAACAAAATTATTTCTAGAAGTCTCATCCTTAATTTTTAAAATTAAAGTCCCATGGGAAAATGTGATTTTGGGTTGAAGAAGTGTATATTACTTGAAATTTTAAAGAAGTCCTCGCTTCTAAAGTGAGACACACCTAGCTAACTGGACAAAGGCATAATTGCAAAGTGGATAATGAAAGACCCATGCAGCAGCTGAAAATCTCACTGTGTATTTCTAATTTGACTTTAAAAATGTACTATCCAACATTAAAATAAAATTAAGAAATTTTGTTCATTAAAACTGTCTTGCCAGGCATGGTGGCACATACCTGTAATCTCAGCAGCTCGGGAGGCTGAGACAGGAGGATTTCATGTTCAAGAATAGCCTTAGCAATTTAGTAAGGCCCTAAAGCAATTTAGCAAGCCCCTGTCTAAAATTTAAAAAATCAAAAGGGCTGGGGGGGGTGTGTCTCAGTGGTTAAGCACTCCTGGGTTCAACCCTTGGTGCCAAAAAAATACAATAAAACAAAAAATCAAAAGGGTTGGTGAGGTGTTTCCGTGGTAACCTGTCCCTGGGTTCAATCCCCACTACAAAAAAAAAAAAAACACTGCCTTATGGGGCATAGCGGGCTGCCTATAATTCTAGGTGCTCAGAAAGCTGAGGCAAGAGGATCATGTCTCTGAAGTCAGCCTGCTCAACCTAGCAAGACCTGACTCTTAGGAAAAAGCCACAATCGAACAAACAAAAATCTCACACTGCCTTAAATGAGAAAAAGACAAGCCACAGATTAGATATTATATATGCATATATGCAACAGTAAAATCATACCCATAGTATTTTTTTAATTCTCACAAATAAATAAAGAAAAGTAGTTAAGACAATAGAAAAAAAAATGGGCAAAAGATCCACAGAGCCAGTAAGCATATAAAGAAGAGCTCAACTTTATTTGTCTTTGAAGAAACTCTAAAACCATCATACATTATTAGTATAAACCCACAAAATGGCTAAAATGTACAGAGAAAATAATGTCAAGGTCTAGGAAGAATTTGGAGGAACTGGAACCCTCCTGTGCCCTATTTGGGTATTCAAATTGGACAAACACTTTGGAAAACCATATGGCCATCTCTAGAAAAGCAGAAAAACACATCCTCTCTGGTCCAGCAATTCCACTCTCGGATAGTTACCCATAAGAAATGAACCCATATGTTCCCCCAAATACAAGTATGAGAACGTTCATAGAGAACTATTACCAGATGTTCAGCCAGGACAAATGGACAAATAAAAGGTAGAATATTCATGTATTGGAAATCTACATAGAAATGAGAATGAATAAACTGTTGCTCCCTCAATGTGGTTAACTCTCACAAACAACACTGAGAGAAAGAAGACAGGAAAAGACATAGTATCTGGTTCCTTTGATATAAAATCAAAATACAGGCAGAGCCAGGCCTGGCTCATTGGTGAGATGGTTGTGGGGAGGGTGCTTGAGTCAGGTCCTCTGGGCTTGCTGAGAGGTTCTGCTTCTTAATCTGATGTGTAAATCTATTCACTTTTTAAAAATAAAAAATAAATACACCTGGGCATGGTGGTGCACACCTGTAATCCTAGATACTCAGGAGGCTGAGGCAGGAGGATCTTGAGTTCAGGGCCAGCCTGGGCAACTCAGTAAGTCTCTGTATCAAAAGAAAATAATAAAAAGGGCTGGGGATTAGCTCAGTGGAAGAGTGCTAACCTGGTAAGCCTAGGTGAGCGCACACGGGGAGAGCACAGAGGAAAGAGCCCTGATTTTGGATTCAGAACTGGGAACCACACTGTGGACCACCCCTGATAAACCTTAGGGAAGCATGTGGCTTTCAGTCTTTAGAGACTCACCTCAGGGAAGGCGCCTTGCCTGTGTCCTTTAGTCCTGTCATACTTGAATTTTCTCACCTCCCCTGCCATGGCACTTGGTTTGTTCCACAGTTCAGAGCTCTGCTCATTCTCACCCAGGTCCCCTCCAGGTTCTGGCCTCAACTGTCTCTTACTCCCCATGCAGCTAGTAGCTAACTGCGTGACCTTTACCCAGTGAGAAATTGAAGGGATCTGGATCCTTCCAGAACATTCCCCCTGCTCCCTGCAGAGTCCCGAGGGAAAGAAAAGCCCAACAGATGATAAGAAAAGCTTGTACCTCCTTCTTGTTGGCTGCAATCATGCCCCAGACTCCAGAGCAGAGAAATCTGTCAAACTAGTCCTCGAGAAGGCAATGCTGATGCTCATCTGGTGAGCACAGGTGTCTTCTGTGTTCTTTATCAGTTGTTGTTCAGGTTCTAGGGACCTATTGACTGAGAGGTGAGCAGCTCCCAGTCAATAGGTCCCTAGACATACAAAGTGTCCACCCATACACATCACGTACACAGGCTAAGGCCTGCTCTGTGCACATGCACACACATACATGTACACAAATATCCTTCACAAGTATGTGCATAAGCTCACAGACACCTATAGAAGCATACACACACACACACACACTCAGAGATGTACAATATGTATAAGCACATGCCAGGCGCTCTTCTGAGTACTTTCCGTGAATTAACTGATTTACTCCTTACAACTGTGTAATGAGGTTGAGTTATGGGGCTATCATTAGATAAGAAAATTGAGGCCCACAGAGGTTACATCACTTGCCCAAGATAGTGTTGAAACCTGAACCCTGTCATCTTGGCCTCTGTGTTCAGAAAACAAAGTGTCTGTTTTTCCTCTGCCCGTTACACTGCAATCAACACAAAGGACTTCTGGCACCAGAGGTGTGGGGATTTCTCCCCACCAGCAAGTAGGTAATCAGTTCATCAGTTTTGCATGGACACCAGCTGGTATCCTCAATCTAATTTAATTTAATTCTGATACTAACCACCTGGAGATAGGGTCAGATCCCACAGGTTGGAGGCTCAGTCCCTCAGTCCCCAAGGTCAACCTCCCCACTTTAGATCCCAGTCTCAAACCCATGCTAGCTGTGTGTGTGTATATGTGTGAGTGTGCGCGTGTGTGTATGTGTGTTGGTGGGTTTTTAGAGTTTGTGCTCTTCGATGCTACTGTCCATTCACAAACAAAGTCACTTGTCTCCTTGGCACCAGTGCTGTCTTCCTCATGCCCTGCAATAGAAAGGGAATTCCTGGCTATTATGTGACTCTGTTGTCCAGTCTGATCCCTCCATCACCTTGTGAGACAAATAGAACCAAACCTCTTTGTTCAGGTGGGAAAACAGGCCCAGAGAAAAAAAGAGTGGCCCAGAGTTGACCTGGGCTTATTAGGCAGGGCAGGGCTGTGGGTGCCCAGGCTCCTGGATCCTGGCTGGATT